CGCATCAGGTCAAATTCATTGTTGTAGGAGAAGCTGCTTGCCTTTAATTGTCACGAAAGAACGGAAGCAGCGGATTTCCTGGGCTCGTTGCGTCCATGCGGTGGTGGGACGTTCCGGTGGATGGATGGTATCGTGGTGCAGGCAATGAAAGAGGGCCGACCTCTTCTCATCGATGAAATCTCACTGGCCCCTGATTCGGTTTGTTCAGCTTTTCACTTTAATCATTGTGATTATGCACCATAGTGGATTAGCCGTCAAAGTTGGGAAGAAGTGGCAGAGCGCAGAAACCGGCAGCTTCCTAGGTTTAGGGCCACTCATCGTTGCCGGAATTAACCTCCATGCTTTTTGCCGGTACTTTTAGCCTGCGCTACAAACAATCTGTAAAAATGAGAACTTTTAGTGCGATCTGGCTCTTGCTGAAGGAGGCATTTCAGTGTGATCCAATTCTTTTTCACTGTCGTACATACCTAGCAGTGTCGAGTTGTTGGGATATACGTGCATGGCAGGAGAGTAATGCCAGGTCTAAAATGTGCTACGCTGCTTATATCCAGTTTGTACTAATCTCCTTGACTCCCTAGGCGCACCGACTTACGCTGTTTATATGGTTGCTTTTCTGGGAGTGTTTTATCCAGATATGTAACACCTGGTAGTTGAACAATTTAGGCATGTTCTGCTTAGCGTTCGAGATCATTACTTTGTCCTGCTCGCCCCTTATCTCACAAAAAGTTCGCTTGCGTGCGTGGTTTGCCAGAAGTTCGATTGGCAACGTTTGTAGCCGTATGTCATTGCTTAAAACACACTTTTCATCAAGGATTTAAACATAGCCAATCAATTTATCATAAACTAGGAATAATGATAAATTTCAAGGTCCTGGAACGCTTAAATCCATTGCTGGAGCAGTCGCGCTCGCTATTCCTGAACGATGCTGGAACAGCGAGTAGTGAAGTGCGTGCAATGCCTGGATTCAATGTTGTGGCTACGATGAATCCCGGTGGTGATCATGGCAAGAAAGAGGTTCATTTTGTTTGGAATTTGGCTAGCTATGAGTCAGTGCACTGTTGAGTATAATTTTTTTAATTCTAATGCAATTCTTTTTTTGCATTAATTTACTCTGAAAAAAAAAAAAGCTGAAGTGGTTATTCTAGAGATCTGGGTTCTCAAAGTTGCTAATGTTTTGCTGGATGCAAAATGGTTCGTACTTTGTCGGCTTTGGTATGATCAAACGGATTCAGTCTTTTCATTTTGCTTTTTTACAGTTGTCAAGAGCGCTAAGAAATCGATTCACGGAGATCTGGTGTTCGCCGGACGTTTCTGGTAGCGATTTGACATCAATTGTGAATCAGGTGCTGAGCACTAGCAGTGCTTTATTGGACGAAAATGAATTGCTACGATCAGCGATTGCAAATTGTATTGTGCAGTTTGTATTATGGTTTGGAACCAATTTCTCACATGCATTAAGGTTAACAGACTTTTTTATTATATCTTTTCGTGTGGAAAGACGAAATGCGGGATTCAGCGATTTTTTTTTGCCCTTTTCAGAAGTACTACAACGATTCGGGATGTGGTAGCTATTGCGCAGCATATCGCTGCTACGCTACCCCGTCTGAATTCACCAGCCAGTGCAATCTATCATGCATTTTCGGCAACACTGTTTGATGCCATTGGCACGGTGCCAACACGCGCTAGCCTGAACCTCGATATCTTAACGAAACAAGCTGTTTCTGAGGTAGTTTTTTTAATTGTGGGCAGAAATTTTTAAACCATTCTTTTCAAACCTGGCCAGGGATTTGAAGACTTTTAAAATGAAATGGAAAAAATGGATTATTAGTCTTGCACTGCATTCCTTGGCGGTAAAATCATGCTCTTGTGATCATGAGGTTTTTGTAAACTTTGAAAAAGGGTAGAGTTTAGAATGCTACAGATTCTTGAATACTATTGTGAATTTGGAGGTCTTTTTTCCGTTTTTCATCACTTCTTCGTTCTTGCTTGTAGTTGTTGAACTGCCATTTCGACGTTATTTGGTAAAATTTTTTAGCTCTCTCGAATCATGCAAGAACAGTTAGGCAGTGCCTATGATGAATGCTTTTTATTATCACTCCTTCCAATCATCGACCAGGAAGGACCTGAAAATTTCGTTGTTGGTGATTTTCACATTCCTTTTGGACCAGCAGAACGCTTTATGCCAAAAGATTTCACGTTCGATGCACCGACATGCAGACAGAACATTTTCAGGCAATTGCCTTTTTTTTTGAAGCAGTTTTTTTTTAATTTTTGAAAAAGGCAATAATTTCTAGGTCACCGGTTTTCAGCATCTAACAGCACGGTAATGCAAAACCATTCTCATGCTGAAAGTCGAAATTTCGACTTTACCAGTGAGTGAGCGAATCTCTCTAAGATTTGTTCATTCATTTTGGTGTAAAATGGGTGGTAATATATGCCAGAGAGGCAAAATCGCCGTCAACTTGCTTATAAGCAACATTTGGAGGATATAATTATCCACGCTGTACTTAATTATCCACGCTGCAGTTGGACAGGGAACATTCCCTTGAAATCCCAGGGTCCCAGCTTTCTCAGTTCCCGAGTTACTAGCTCGAAACCTCTTGTACATACTGGTCCTCGAATTTCGGGAACTTAATTATCCACGCTATAGTTGGACAG